GAGCTGAAGGATAATCAGAAATACATACAACATGTCGACTGAGAGAAAGGAACTCGCCTGGAATATCAGGAGACGCTTGTTTTCACTCCAAGGTCAAGACCTCTTTGAACTCGCTAAGAGCCTTGCATCAGAAAACAAAGACACTACACAGCTCAGTCAGGTGAAATTTTTATTGCGGTCTGTGTCGCTATTACAGTTGCTACTGTGCAAATGTTTTGGTGACATTTAAAATTCTACTTTGCACTCGAATAAACATTTAATCATCCAACTGGCACAGGAGTGCGGAGGCTTTGGATATCCAGTAGTCGCTGGGTCGCTTGGAGGGAAGCATTACTGTTACCACAAAATTAGTTGAGTGACCTGTGGTGGACAGAGTGCCAGCTCTGGCTGAGGTCTTGTACAGAGGAGCGTGGTAGAGGTCAGGCTCTGGAACGTAGTTCTGCTGTGGCTCAAAGTGCACCACCGGCAGCATGGCGTTCATAACCCGAGGCAGCGCATCATCAATCACCATGCCGACATCATCCCAGCGACAGGCATCCATGAACATGCCGTGAACAAGTACACCGTCCTCCTCATCCATGTTCAGTTTTGCACCAATGGGAAGAGTGCGTAGAGCCTCACAGACTGCTTCCTCATCCCTATAGGCCGGCACCACGCTGAAGCGGAAATTAAGCTCATCAATAGGCAAACTGTAACGCCGGGCATGATTCTGCAACACTCCAGTAAGAAAGCCTTGAGGGAAGAAGAACCCGGAGATCCAAAGTGATTTGGGCTGACCACGTGTGATCCAAGTCTGGATAAAGGAAGTTCTGAGAGTCAAGTCTCTGACCCAAGAAGACAGCGGTTTAAGGGAAGGGTAGGCAGAGTTTGCCCAGTGGGTGGGGACCTGGTTGTTCAGAAAGCTTGTGTAGATTCGGTCCATTTTCTCTGACATCACAACGAGACCTGCTATTGCCTTTTGCAGAGTGATAAGAGACATCCTGAGAACTTTAAGCAAGTTGTTGAATCGGTCTGCTTCTTGGGCCAAAACAGTTGTGAGGGAGTTAATGCGCCCATTGGTGTCTTTGATAAACAGTGTGTCAATTGCTTCATCCATGTCCAGTCGCTCGGGCAGTTTGGCTAAAATCAGTTCGCCGAGCTCGCAGACTATGTCATCGTTACTCTTAGCTCCCTGTTGTGCTGAAGAACGAGGATTAACATCCAGTATGGTATTGATCAGGGTTATAGTTTCTTGACGCTGAAAAGCCAAGTTGGCATTCTCATGCATACCAAAGATCTCAGGATCATCAATGATTGTAAGATTCTCAATATACTTATATTGTTCGAGTTCATCTGACTCTGGAGCGTAGTAAACACCTGAGGGGGAGTACGTGTAGCCAGGCTGCAGAGTTTCTGAAGAAAAAAAGCCTTTGAGGATTGTCCTTAGGTACCGTTGGCCCCAGGCATCCGTCACTCTCCCTCCATATGTGATCTCACCAGTGATGTAGACCAGAGCATCCCAAGGGATGGTGCCATCTTTGCAGTACAGGTTGAGGTTGAGCAGAGCACATTCTCTGTCACTGTCATTGAATTCGTAGCGGATGTTCCAGCCCAGGGGACCAAACTTCTTCCGCTCCTGGATGATTGCATGGAAAAAGCAGATTCCAAAGACAATCTTCCTCCACTGGTGTCCCAAAATATGGTGTTCAAAGAAACTGCTGGTGATCTCTGTGAAGGCTCGTTGCATGTTGCAGGCCTTTAGGAGGCTCGTTAGTCACCTTAACGGAGTTCTGGAGCACTGTAACAGGAAATACTTTGGTCGGCATGGAACTGAGAAATAGACGGAAGTTCTCATGGACTGATGTGTCAGGGTCAGT